CATACAAAAAAGTGCTTCTTATGTTGCATGTCTTATGCTTTCTACTGTCAATCCCTATGTTAGTTAGAATTTTTGACAGGTGGTTATTTTTCTATTATGATAAGAACAATAGAAATTGTTATCTTGATTATTTCATTAACTAATGAAACTACAGAAAAAATAACTACACTTTTTAGAATCCGGGGAACAAAGTAAGCATGCCAACTTTTGTCACACTTGGTTCAATAATAAATGAGAGAGCCCTAAAAACCATGTCCCCCTTAAATGTATAGAATACGAGGCCTACAGCCAACCTCTCAGCTTAGCTGAGCTGCTAACAACACTAAACGCTGCAGTAATTCTCCCCCCGGTTCCAAATGTTGAAAAACCTACCCCTTGAAACACAAATAACCTTACTCTCCTTGCACAATGCTATCTGGTTGTCTGGCACATATCCTTACTTGGAAAGAGGTTACTGTTATTTCCATTTTGAAAGAGGGCAAGAACCTTTCCTCCTTTACGAGTTATAGGATCATCACGGCACTTGCTAGCTGCCTCTGTAAACTTTTCGAAAAAATGATAAACCGCTGACTTGTACCTATTCTTCAAACAAACAATCTGCTCAACCAATTTCAGTGCTGGTTTCGAGAGGGTACATCCATCATCGACGACCTGATATGTAGAGAAGCACAAATCCGAGAAACTGTCGTCCACAAACAGTACTTTCTGTGTACCTCGATATCGAAAAGGCTTAAAGCACAACATGGTGCTTTGGAATATTAGGAGACTTGTCTCCCCGTGATGTGCGTGGCAGAATGTTTATTATTATGAAAAGTTACTTGTCCAGTCGGACATTTCGTGTCCGAGTTGGCAGCATTCTTTTCCAAACATTTGTCCAAGCGGGAGTGCTGCAAGGTGGTACACTTTTCATTATAAAAATGAATTCCTTGCGCTTGTCTATCCTCAGCAATACATTTTACTGCACGTATGGTGATAATGTCCAGATTGGCTTTGTCTTGTAACCTGTTAATGTGCGAGTGGGAGATTCAGCTTGGTTTGAACAAGGTCTCAGAATCAGCAGAGGAAAACTGGTTCCAACTGAATCCACAAAAAAAAGCATGTCTGCTTTGTTTTCAAAAAAAAAAAACCATTCATTCCTAACCTGAAATTCAAGTGCGTGGTCAACGTCTCCTAATGCCAAAAACAAATTAATAGGCCTTATCTTGACACCAAGCAAACCCTCGTACCACACATCAAGTACAGTCGACTCATGTTAATTCAAACTCAAACGCACCTCTGAATTTTGTTTACTTATCTAAAGTTCTCAGATGTACAACTTCAGGTGAGGTGACACCACACATTATAATTAGACATAGAACTTGAACCCTAACTGCATGCAATGAACAGAAAGCAGAGATGTAGGGTCCACAAGTTTATTGGCCATTTACTGCTGACCAGACCTTTTTCAGTCATCGTGAATTGCCAACTGCTTTTTCACGATTTACCATGCGTGTGCTTCATTTCAAACATTTGTTTACTAGCAAAGCCCGTTTCCTTGAAGGCGTGAGGTGCTTATTTTTCATTTTTACACTGTTATCATTTGCATGCATAAGCATGTAAGTTTTAAAATAGTAGTGGCAAAGCAGCAAATTTTTTTCTAGTATAGAACCTCAAAAAGTATTAATTAAACGAATGGTGGGTTGAAAGAATAGAGGGCTGACCAAAAAATTGAACTTTATTTTAATTAACTGAAAGAGTGAATTATAAAGAGTTTGAATTATCGAGAGCCTACTGTATTCAAGAAACAGGTGCATAAAAGCCGTGAATGTTCCGTAAGTGTTGTCACGCGCTACGTGGGGTAGTGACAAGAAGTGTCTGATGAACTTGTATCGCAGCCTGAAACGGACTCGCCTATACTAAGGGACCATAAGGTATCGGCCTGCGACACCTACTGCCCTAAAGATTCTTGACCTTTTACATCATTTAAGCATTCACCTCTCTATGGGTGCTTCTCGCACTTGCCCCATTGAAATCCTGTTTGTGGAATCCGAGTGGTCGCTCCTATGCAGAGATATTACATGTCCTTTCTATATAAGTGAGTGCAGACAAGGAATGCCCTTCACATTTTACAATTTCTGACATGTCCAGTTTTGCTCGGTTTGAAAACTGGCCTTCGTTGAGACAACCTTAGTTACTTCGTTTGAGGCGCCGAGAAGAGGAAACCGGTGTGCCACTTGAACACCGTTTGATGGCTCCTGCAGTGTGTCTGCCACCATGGAAGTGGCAGATGATAGATTGCCACGTGTCCATTGTACATATATCTACACATACTCTCGGGGACTGTACCGAATATCTATCGCCAGGACGGTGGCCAGAATAACGCAACTTCAAATAAGAAAAATTATGTGCTACTTACTGCTAAGCAATCTACGTGGTCGCTGGCAACGCCGGCACACGCTTCCAGCTTTAGTTACTAACAAGCCACAGCCGTGTTTTCAGGCTGAGAAATTTACATTTCCGGCGAAGCGTTGGTGGCTATAGGAATGCATTTCTGTCTTGAAGTTTGTCGTCCCGCCGATAGCGCAGCGATCAGCGACCGATGGGCGGCCAGCGTTACTTTATCTGGTCGATCGCGTCTTACGAGTGTAGGGCGGGTGTCTAGAATATTTCAAGTATATTCTAGGCATATAGTTAGGGTCTAGGCGCTCTGACTGATGGCGCAAACTGCACGTAGCTTGAGTTTTTCGCTGAAGTTAGTGCACCTGACAAAACTGAGGCTGGCTGAGCATTTTGGCACAGTGTGGCACAACAATTGGGAATTGTATCAAATCGGCGCAGCTGTCGCACCCATGCTCTTGCCATTATTTTTTAATTAGTTATGAAAATTGTTTTTGATCACAATTTGGCTGTACAGATCCTGCTGAATGAAGTTATTCTACAGCTAGCAAAGAGGGTAAAATGCAAGTTTTATGGCTCTAGCTTTCCTACAACAAAGGTTTTTTTTATTTTATTGTTAATAAATATTTGTGTTGTCCTATAGTTGCATATGGCACTTTCTTACACTCGCTAAACAATCCCAGCTGTGGCTGCTGCACTTTCAATGTAGGCGAAAATGCTGTACGCCCGTGTGCTTAGATTTGGGTGCACGTTAAAGAACTCCAGGTGGGTGAAATTTCAAGAGCCCTCCACTACGTCGTCTCTCATCATATTGTAGCGGTACTACAGCACAGAGGCTTATGAAAACAAATTTATTAGGGCAAACTTGTGCCTTCGAGTTGACTCTGAGAAAACTGCGAGTCCGTCGAACACCAAGAAAATTTTGGAACGCCTCTTCTTTTCCTTCACCAGAACCCCGAGTGCGTGACGCACGCGAGCTTGGTCTGGCCAGGTGCTCATGCTGCCACGGTCTGTGTGCGGCACGGTGAAGGGTGGTCTATTTGAATGTGATCAATATATCGCAGCACTATGGTGATTTTGGGACTTTACACAATACACATCAATCAGTACACTCGCTGAACATCCAGCCTTTGAACAAGGCAAAAATTATTAAAATTTAGTGTACCAAAGCTGAGAAGTGCTTGACAGAAAATGACAGGTGGCCAAAAAACAAACTGAGAAAATGACGAAAAGAAATCTGTTTTAAGAAAATGTACACAAATGAAAATGCTTCACTTTGCATATAAGTGCCTCAGAAAACACCAGGGGAGTAGTCTGGATATGCAACTGGTCCCACTGTACGTCCCGCATTTAGCAGTCCTTTCAAGCAGCTTGTTATTTAATCATAGGGTAGTCGTGCATGAAGCCTCCTACGGGTCTGAGTCATTGCGTACTGTCGCGAGCTTTCGCAGCTTGCACTAGCTCGTCGATAAGATGCAGATCTTGTCATCACTCACTTCCTGCTGTTGCACATGATTGGCGTTCATCAAAAAGGTTGTGTCTATCCTTGTGCCGTGCTGCCTATCGCCGACGTCGTCCGAGGCGGCCAGAGAAACGGGCAGCGGAGATGTCGGCATTTCGACCGACAGATCGTGTCCCATCACCGCACCTGCTTCCCCCTCAAGCCGCAACTTGGTCATTGGCCACCAGTATCAAAATCATGACGCACAGAAGTAAGACTTGCGAGGCTAACAACAGGTCGAATTCACACTAAACATTCATACCTTTTGTCTGGTGGCAATCTAACATTGTGCGAGAGATATAGTGAAGCACTAACAGTGCTTAACATTTCAATCTAATACAAGGTGTCGGACACGCCCAGAAGAAAATACTTTCCATTACCCTACTGACAACAGATACCACTTCAGCCAGCAATGTTCGTTGGTTGGGAATCACTTTTAATGTCACATACCCAGGCATTCTGTAGCAAAAACTCTGAGAGGTCGCTGCTGTGGTGGCTATATAAACGAAGCCCTCGGACGCAAGAGCATTCATAAGGCCCTTGCACTAATGCCATATATCTCAACCATGGTTTTATTATCACGACCTTTTGCCATGCATTATCATAATCAATGTTCCTCTTGTCTCCTCCCTGCCTTCCCTCTCTATTTCTCTTTCTCTCTCTTGTCTCATGACATGGCACTCTTCGGCCATAAAATTGCCCTTGCACCACAAAACACCAAACATCAACATGCTGGTAACTTACATTTGGGGGTCATCACAATGCAGGAATAGATCAAATGATGATTGTGTGTCAACATTGTGACTATGAGGTTGTCAAACTCACACGCTGGGCAATGTGGAAGTAGTGTGTGGCACAATTCAAAACAGGTCGAGACAGGTCAACTGTTTGGTTGTATGTACACATTCGCTATTACTAAATAAATTCTCCATGAGACATTATTGTTGTGTTCATTAAGATGTGTGTGGCGTGTGCTCTACTATTTTGGTAAAATTAGGTCAATCTCGGACATAATTCAGCTAATAGCTCTTGTATAGCGAGTTTTGGAAGCCTGCATGTTTTGGCTTTCTGTGATTTTTTTATTCCAACTGGCTGCAAAGGCTGTCAATCTTTTTTGTTCCAGGTTTTGAAGGCTGAAAGCAATATGGAGCAAAGATTTCCCGAGGCCTGTGGACAACATTGTTTCAACCGACTTAAAAAGTTGAAGCACAAGTGAATAGATTATATTTTATATGTTTATTTCACCCATTCTTTGACTTCCAGTCACTAAGAGCACATGTACATTTCAATGTGTCAATTCAGTGGAGGTATAACATATGTTGGCAGTAGCCATGTCTTTGTAACAGTTCACAACTGCAAATCTTGCTGTTCCAACATTTTTACGATTGTTGGTAATGAATACATTTAATTAACTGAGCTGTGCTCTTGAAGACGATGTATGTAAGCCAAACAAAAAGGGAGTGCAACTGATATCAGCAGCCAAAACAATAGTGCTTCTACGGCAGCATGATGTCTAGAATCGGAGGTTGGCATAGTCTACACTCCTTTGCGAAAGTCGGGCTTTTTTATTTTTCTTATAAAACACCTAGATTACAGTACATCAAATGTTTGAATAGCTTGTGTGCTGCAGGTTTGCTCATTACAAACACTACCAAACAGCTGAAGCAATTAAAGTGCTAGTTTTGGTTGGGTTAAGGTGATGAGATACTGTACCAGTGATGTTTTCTGCTGAAGAATTGGTACCAAATGTTGGGAAATGCTGTCAGGGAAGGCAGAGAATTAGATGCAGTGAGGAAATTAAGAATTTTGCAGGGATAAAATGAAATCGGCGTGCACAGGATAGGGTAAACTGAAGATCCTTGGAAAACGCCTTTGTCTAAGCACTGAACTAGAACAGGCTCAGAATGATAACTGAAACAAACTAGAGAAATTGCAGCCAACATGTCAGTGGTAACGCTTGAGTGGTGAAACATACAACTGTCGCAAATATATCATACACAAAAGAGATTATATAAATGTGTATACCGTGTGCATGTTTAGCCTTGCATCTAACACACAAATTCCTGCAAAAGAAAGCTTTTTGAATGCCTCGTTTTTTTTGTCCCCCTCCCTCTAAAGGCTGCCATCAGTTCACCAAGCAGTTGAAGAGACACTAATGACTGCCGCAAAGCAGTATTCAAGCTGAAGTACCAAAGGAGCGGGCTACTTCAGCACACTGTGCCGACCTACAACAACCACTTCGAGATACTTTTTTGTTGTGGCTGGAGCCAACACTAACAAAACAAGATATTCACACTAACAAGAGACAAGGCGGGAGCTACATATATCTAAATTTATTTAATGTTTTGCCCACAAATATATACATAAATTGTTTGACAATTCATTTTAGTGTGTGTGCATGCGTTTTCCTGAAGACGTTTATGGGCGAAGCCTCAAATAATATTAGATGATAGTTGCGCCCGTTCTCTATCCTGTTGTGAATGTTTTGTGAGAGTGCGCTTCTGCGTGCATGTTTGTGCGTGCATTCGCTTGCGTTTTTGGGTTTGGCTGCATTCGTATATGTGTGAGTCAGGAAGCTGCGAGTCATAAAACTGTTTTTAAGAAAATATGTGTTTTTCATTTTTACTTGCTTTCACAAGTTTGGGTTCTCCATACTTTGCAACAAAAACTGAATATTGCCAATAAGGTAGGTTAAGAGCACTTTTAAAGAGCACGAGGTGGCTACTAAAGAATTGGCCTCGCACCTACTTGTTCGACTGCAAATGTCATTGAAAGACGACAGTCTTCTGTATGGAGAGAGTGAATAGAATAAAATATTGTGAGCGCTGACTATGATGTTTTGCGTGAGAACATCGGTGAATGGGATTCTAAAGGCTTTGTGTGAGACATGATTGCCATCTGGCGGTAATCGCAGAAAACGAAAGGATGGCCTTCATTATAGTGAGCACACACAATCTTGGAGGCTATATTTTGTAGATTTCAAGGTTGGTAGCAGCACTGTATTGTTTTAGCAAAAAGCAGGAAACTCTCCTTTTCATGCATAGCGTCCCATTGTCGGTGCAGCGTAATAAACACTAAAGTTCTTAGAATTACTTATCTATACCTTTTTCTAGTGTAAAGAAACACACCGCATAATATTAGCGTGTTGATATTGTGCCGCAGATATGCACAATATTTGCTTTTCGATCGACAATCGCACAAGTATGAATGCAGAAACCTGAGCAATATTGGTGAGCGCTGTGAATGTGGTTGTACACGAGCCACAGACAGACCAAAATTTTTGCGTTAAAGTATCTCAAGGAAGACTATCGCCCTAAACAAAAAAGTGCTCAATATCTAGAGCCCTCTGGAAATGCTCACCTGGCTGCTAGCCATTGCATTTTGCACGAGGGCTTCACTAAAGCTCTCATGATGAAAGAAGTCATCTAAAAAAAAACATATTTTCTGTAAATGAGCTTTCACTTATAATCCGTTGCACAAGTGGAAGCGCTGGCTTGGGAGCAAAAGTGGCTTGACGGGTGACGACTACGGCAGTCAGTGACATAAGTCTTACATGGCTTGACAATGTACTATCAGCGTCAAATGAAACCCGAACACCGGCAAGCTTTCACGATGGTATAGCGCACGCTGTCCACTTATCACTAAGAACAGTCAAACATATATGTGCAAAGCTGCTGAACAGGATGCGCGCACCTGTCATGGTGATAACTGGATGGCACGCACTACACCATCGCAAAGGCTTGCCGCTGTTCCGGTTTCATTGGACGCTGATAGTACATTGGCGTCAGTGGTAGGTGTTTTCAAGTGTTGGAACGCCATAAGCTATGAGAACTGGAAAGTTATGTATATAGTTTAATGTGACGGTAACGTGAAAAAAAGTTATCAAGACACCTAGACTCGATAATATCGATTCTGTTTCTGTGAAGACAGCCTAGGAGACTGAATGAGTTGCTGCTGTTTTATGAAATAGAATATCAAGGAATCTGTTAAATCTCCGGGCATACCAGATACTCGGCCGATGGCATTTTCTGCAATTGTTCTAGATTTATCAGGACAACAGCTAGAGCGAAATGTTGGTGTTGAAAGTAGCTTGCACGAGGGAACAATTTTGGAAAGGTGCGCCTTGTTTAGTTCTTTGTAATGTGGTGTATCTCGGAACATATGCCAGTAGGTTTGCTCGTTCACAGTTTCTTCTTGTGCCGATAAAGTACTAAAGTATTTCGACGTGTTCAACGGGCAGTTGACAGTAGCTAATTTCTTATGTATAGTGTGGTTACAACATCCCTGTATCCAGTTGATATTAAAAGAAGTGAGTTTGAATTTACCTATGGATCATTTAATAAACAGGGTCAATTTCAAGTGTTGCTTCAGAATTGTTATTACATATTGTAAATGAGCCTATCATACAGCTAGATCGAAAATGAATAACCTCTAGTGGCTTTGTTCTTCAATTTTTTGTGAGTACACATGTACGGTTCTGAGTATTGGTTGGTCTGAAATGTCATCTTAACAAAAAATCAAGTACTGAATTAGTAGTTCTATGTGTTGTTCGTCATCACTGTGCTGGCGTGAGAAAAGTTGTTTTAGGGAAACAACTTTCTTGTGTAGTGGGTTATTTTAATGAGTGAGGAAGAACGATGACAACTACGAAATTGCGAGGCAAGGCGCATGGGATTGCAAGCTAGCTGTGCGCGAATCGGCTGATGACTAGTGGTGGTCCATAGAGGTGGCGTACCACGATTGGGCCACCTATGAGGATTATGTGGCGAAAAGCTTTGTGGCTGGGGACTAGCCGAAGCAGCTGCAGACTCAAGACAGCGGGCCAATGCGTCAGACGCTGGCGATCTAGGTTCCGGCCAGGGAAACTGGCTGTCCACGTTACTGCCGTCCGACCACCGAGCTGGGGCGGCGTTGCCAGCACGAGTACTGCATCTAGGGGCGCGGCCAGGCCTGCTGCTCTGTTCCTTGCCGAGAGCATCGCGGATCTCGGCAAGGCGTTTCCATGGTCAGTCGTTCCACACAGCGACGGACGTGGCCTGACCAATGGTCACTGTTGGGCCAAGCATCGTGTCTCGACGCAAGCTGTTCTCTGGACAGGCTAGCCATTCTCTGCCTGGAGCATTGCATCTCCGATGCAGGCTGACTACTCTGTAGTCGAACCCAAGCCGTCAAGCGTCATCGTCGCCACTGCGTCGCACATCGAGACAAATTCCGCTCCACATCGCCCGCTGCCGCCTTCTGCCCAGCACCTCAGCGTTTGTCTGGCCTTTTATCTGATCGCGAGGTTATGAAAATTTCTGCATTAAGCTCGCATTTGTTCATTTCCTCATTCAGTCAGACAGTCTTGTTACTCAATTGATTTAACGCTTTTGCTGGTTCTGTGTTGTAGGTTTCTATTCTGTGTTTATCATGAATGTCGGTGTGTTTTAACACATCGTCTCAGAGCCCATTTCTCTTCAAACAGCTTGGAAAATGAGCGTTTGTGAACAGAGTCAGAGGCCTCAAGCATTCTGCATATACCGAAACACAGCCACCTTAGCTGAGACTCTTTCCCCACAACCAGATAAATTTAAGGGCGCTCTCATAGAAAAAGTATGGCACTAAGGGCATGAAAAAATTAGCAGGTTTCTTAGGCTAGGTTGATGTGATATTGCCTCATCAAGAATGAAGCAAAACAGAAGCAGAGTTGTATTTGTGTACAAGATTTGGTGCGGCCTACCTGTTGTCTACAGCACTTTACACCTGAAAGGCCAAGATGCCGTTTCCTCAGCCTCTCCGTCTGTTAAAACTTCTGTGGAAGCCCAACTGCGGCGGACAAGGATTAGCTCTTTTCAATTCCTTCATTCTTAATATGCTTCGTAGGCATCAATATATAAGGACATCTGAAATTCTGGATGCTAAAAGTCTTTAGCACTGATTTTTTTATTACTTTCTGGCCATATTTTAGGTCTAAAACAGCATTATTTGAGCTCCCAATTTCGCCACATCAATTATTTCATTGTTGGAACCAGCAGTTTTTATTCAATTATTCAATATATTTATGATTGTAGCAGAGCTTGAAAGGCCGCTTTGCCGCAATACGAGGTGATCTGAGGTGAATGGTATTAGAAATAGGGCCACTGCAAATCGGACGACGACTTTGTCTTTGCGATGTCTAAATAGTTTCGAATAGGAAAATTCCAGTGCAAATTGAATTTAATAGCAAGCACATTAGAACCATATTTGAAGTTTTAAATATTCACACATCCCTACTAGACACCTTTATTCAGGGGAGCGTTTCAACCAAAGCTTACGTATAGTTGGGGGTGTGTTTGTATGTGTATGCATTATACACATTAAAAACTGAATATGGGGGAAAGGGGCCCACTGGCTCCAGCGCAGCAAAAGCACAATGCTGACTATGATATCACGATTTAGCTGAGCATCTTGGAGCTCGGTTGCAATGGTATCCATCACAGGACTTGGCAGTCAGTCGCCTTCAGCTCACTTCTTATGGTGTCAGTGTCGTCATGTGCAGTGAATAGCACAAGATAGGGCACACAATCTTTAAAATGCATGTAAATTACCTTACATGCAGTATTTGCTGTTCAGATTTTGTAGATTATATGCATGTTTGATATACGCAATTACACATCCCACAGGCTAGCTATAAAAGTTCGTGTCAGTGCCCTTCAACACTGTGCATGGGCACTTCCCTCAAAAAGTAGAGTACAAAGCTTTTAACAATACGGCGTGCACAAGCATGTACATTCAAATGCACAAGTGGCTTAGTTTTTTCTCTGTGCAACTGCACATTAGAACTACGAAAGACACCTGAATAAATTGAATGCAAGAAAATCTGAATCATCAAACTCACGATTTTTTTAAACAAACAAACTTCTCTCAATACCTCCTTTTTTAGGCGTTTTCGAATAGCAGTAGGAGCATAGAGTGCTCAAATTCTGTGCACAGTCATGAAGTCATATGGGCTTTCAGCAAACGGCGATGTACAATGCCAAATAGCCGAGGTCAGACTCGTCTACAACAATAGCCAAAGAGGAACAGTCACACAACTTTAGAAGTATGAACAACACAGTCCATAGTTGTAAAATAATGTATTGTGCAGTTTTGCTATGAAGTTCATGTGCTTGTCTAAAAAAAAAATCCTCCCCGAATTCAGTCCTTCCTCGAGTCCTTGGTTGGTGATTCTTCCATGGCCCATTCGCACATGAATTCAGTGTGTCTCGGTTCACAAGGCAACATAGTTTGCCTAAGTAGTGGTAACTTACTGCATGGCCAACAAAGAAATAATTGTTTACACCAGTCCTCCCCCACATTCTCATGTCAGAGGCTTGCTTCGCTGTAACACAAGTACTAAAATTTTACAATCATAGCTGCATGGTTACTAGTGCAATACTTGTCGTGAGAACTACCGCACTTACTCACATAATTTGCGCACTTGTTTTGCTATTTTGAAACTCTGCGAAGGGGGTGCGCAAATCACGCAGGGACTTTACGGAGCACATCAGAAATAACATGCATAACGAAATAATTCAGTAAAACCTCGTTAATTCGAAATCCCACTTCATTCGAAGTATTTTCACGGTCCCGTATTTTGCAATGTAAGTTTGAGTGGGTAATTTAAAGCGGCGGTCACCAATAGTCCGGTTAATTGGAAAATTTTGGG